TTTTTGGGGAAGTTATATTTAATGGTAAATGCTGGAGCTTAGCCTTTTGCGCAACACTGCTAGTAGCATTAGCAGTTGATGGTGATGATGTGTCTAGCGAGCATAGCTCTAAAGATGCATTTTAATGCATGACTGTAGTTGCTTCATTGTTGGGATTACTAGGAAAAGCTCTATTATTTAAGGGTATTTTATTTTCATGCGTGTCTGGAGCATTAGCTTTACTTAAATGTATGGCGATAGAATCCTTGGTGGGAAGTTCTGAGGTTTGCGACACTTGATACACCGGCACAGATACGTCTTTGACATGGCATTAGGTCATGAGCAAGTTTAATGTTAGTATAGGGTGTAGATGAACTAATCAGCCTGTTAGAAGACTGGAATTTCCTAGAACCATTGGGACTACTGAATATAAACAGCACAGGACAAGTATACTTTCCTGAGCCTGATTTGGTGACAATTTGCTGATGGCATGCCGAACGCTTGGAGACATGTCGCTTTGATTTTGTCCAGAGATATCCTATCAGGCAGACTGTATGCGAGAATGTTGTAGAAAGACATGATTCGTTCAATAACTTCATTACCTCAAAAGTCTAACATACGCTCAGACTTCAGCAGACTATCCGGATTGGTATCGTGAGTTGGGTTACAAAGAGGCAGTAACGGCTTAATGGTATTTATATTCTCATTGAATTCTTTCAAAGAATTTCCCAGAGAAATAAGGTCCAACTTATCTTGTTCAGCAGTTGCGTATATCCCTGTTGGCAAGTCGGGTACAATGACTTCGGGGATACTGTTGGGGCCACGTGGAACGTCTAGTGATGTACAAATCTTTTCAGCGGAGTGACCTAAGGTATTCTTACGTTTAGAAGGTACTTGTTTATTATGTTGTGCCGTTAGTGCAAACAGATCAGTATGGTAGAAGCTCAGTGGAAACGAAAACAGTTATATACAGACAAAGAACTAGCATAGACACCGTATGGGATTTCATTGTTTATAAATAAATACACCAAAGGATACAGTTCAACAATATCGTCCCAATGTATGCGAACGTACGGGTGAGCTTCAGCCGACCAATCGTAAAAAAGAGAAATTTCTGCACAAAATATGATTTATATTTACAAGAAAATGCATGAAATCATATGACTCAAAAATACGTCCCAGTTATTATGAGAAGTATCAGTTTCCGAGTTAGACTAGTTTCTGTACATGTATTCACCGAGGTGACCAAAATGATCTCTTTTCGTGAACCGTTCATCGTTCGTTGTGCAGTCCTCCCCAGAGTCCTCGGTGGAATTATCATGGTTTCAAGTAACAGGATAGACGAATACTTACCAGGAAAATATGGATAGTAAAACAAATTAAAATAAATAACATCAACCATAAACCTATCCCTAATCGTAACTCTAACCTTAATCTTGACCCTAGCACCAACCCTAAACTTAATCCCAACCCTAATCAGTACCACTATCCAAACCGTAATTCTAATCCGAATACGAATTATAACCCTGATCCTAACGCTATCCACAATACTTAATTTAACTCTGATCCTAACCCCAACGAGCTATTAACGAATTGTGGAAACAGTACTTAAAAACGTGATCTGGGTGAAATTCGCTGCCCAGCTGGTGAATAGCGTTGATAATTCAGCTATAATGATGGCAGGTGCCATTAGCCAACGACTAGCTTGCGTTCATGACCACCGAAGCGTTCTCACTACTGGGACGCTATTGTTGAACTTCACCGACAAAAGTAGTTAACCGTGGATTACAGATTATACAGAAACCAATTATCCTGCAAATTGATCCTGATTTATAAACCACAAAATAATGAACTTCTGTACGGTTTCCTTTTTTGTGCTAGGTTGTTCTTCATTTGTAGAAAGAAGGATTAGCCCTGCGAAAACGTGAATCTAAACAATGTAACTTGCAGTGATATATCTGGATAAATGGAAGCTGGGGTAGTAGCAAATATAAGTTATAGCTGAGGAGTGGTATAATATCCACTGCAATATTTCAGAAATCGGTAAAAATATATCTACGTTATGAGGAGAGATTCTAACGTCCGATGGGAATCGCGCTCCATAACTTGGTAACATCCCACAAACAGATGAACCGTGAATTCGCTGTGTTGCTTTTCCGAATGTCGAGTCGCAATGAGACGTTTCAGTTACTTATATCCGCTGGGGAGCTGGAGAAGTGCCATTAGGTGGATAAAATCCGAAATTCACTGACAAACGTGTTTTGTGACTTTGTCGTCAAATAGAGTTTTTTAAATATTTGTAGGAATCGACGCTGTTTATAATACCAACAATAGAATGTAAGTTCACTTATTCGCTAATAACCATGCAGGCATTATCTGTTCCAGGATGTAATGTCGGATTTCTTCGGACGTAGGCGTCCATTTCTGTTTGCCTGGATTGAGAAAGGAATTTAAAGACGATTTCATTTGGATATTGGACAGTTTCCGTCAAATAACTGGAGATACTTCTCAAACGGAGCCTACAATTATCGACTATGCTCAGTTTATATATGTAAATAAACTATATGCATGTTGCGTTGAAATAAGACTCTTCTTGCGATACTCTTGAGTTCAGTTAAGTCAGCTTGCCGTGGGAGTACGGCATACTAAAATGCCACTACCTGGGATGGGAACTTCTTACAATTGTCAGTGCAGTTCCGTAAAAACACTATGGAATAACATAAATGGTAAACACATTCAATTAAAAACTGTTATGTGCATCTAAACTCTGACAATAGTTGTTTAGACAAAGCAACAAGAAGACGTAATTTGTCTGAATATATTTAAGCAACACATTTTGAACAATCTGATGGCGATTGAATTGGTTTTCCATTTTTGTATTTCTGCAGCCCTGCTTTAATTGCCTAGGCTTAATTGAGTCGAGGGCAGTTCTGATCTTCCGGCCAAACATAATTTCCGCTGGGGATAACTGATTTGGGGCGGAAGGATTTGGCGTCGTACGATAATGCAGCAAGAATCTATCCAAATTTCTTCTCTTGTTCCCACCCCCTTCGCTTTTGCATAAGCACGCTTAAAGGTGTCGACGAAACGTTCAGCCTGCCCATTCGATTGGGATGATACGGGGGGCTACGAATATGCTGGATGCCAAACAGTTTGCAGCAACCAAGTTTGTCCTGGAAGACAAAAGCGTGCTTTTGACGCAGGCGTTGCAACAGAGATTGATCAGATACATGTCCAGGAACAACGTTGTGTGGTGAGGACGAAACATTACAGCATACTGAGTTTAATGGTACATTGGAGATATGGAGCTTGTCTAACCAGTCAAGACCAACCAAATTCAAATCATGGTAGTTTGTGACGTAACATACACCATTGAACTGATGCTCACCAAACTGAACCTGGCAATTTATCTCACCCACGAGTTTCAGTGTATCTCCAGAGGCATTCTTAGCGACATGCTCGGTCGGCAGAATCTGTAGGCACCCAAGTTTGCGCCACGTAGTTCGGGAAATTAGGGTGATATCTGATGCCGTATCCAACTGAAGACGAATATGTTTGCCGTTAATACCTAGTGTAATGTACTTACGTTTGCTGGCGAAATCGACTTTGGAAGCTGTGAAAATGGTCTGTACTCGAGGAGATTGTTTCTGCTTGAAACGACTATTTCTGTTCCTCACCGAAGAATTTTTCTGAGCTGGACAGTAACCCTCTTTATGTCCAAAACGGTGACAATTACGGCATTTATGTTTCCTGAAAGGACAGAGCTTGACAAAATGCCACAAACCACAGTGCCAGCACACTGAAGGAGGTTTAGCTGAATTCTGAGACTGACGTGCTATACGCTTAACGGTGATCGGAGGACTTTTCACTGTGTTAATTGAACCAAATTCAGACGACTGTCGTTTGCACTCCACCATAGCAGTATCGTGCTTCAAGTTGATTAAGCGTTGGCATTCTGCTGTCACCATGTGTAAAGTCATTTTCCGGTCTTGTTCCACGAGTGACAGAAATCGAGTTCTTATGTCAGTATCTTCTGGGTTCTTCAACCCACAAATAAAAATCAAACGCTTGAACTGATCTGATGTCATTTCGTGTGGTTTGAACCTTTCGCATTCCTTGTTCACTTTGCCAGCGTAAGTCACATAATCATCGGAAGGCATTTTTGTCAACTGAAAACATTGATACCGAATATTAAACATGGATGACTGTTCACCAAAGATTTGAGATAAAACGGTGACTGTCTCATCGAATGATAACTCACGTGGGTTCTTAGGCAGAATGAAGTTAACATATCTGTTGTGCTCAACAGTACCAAGTTTTCTTAGTAACAGTCGGACTTTGGCAGCATCATCAAACATGTAGCATTCAATATGGAAAACGTCTTCGTAACGATTGAACCATGCATCAAATACGAGACCAGATATTGGGTCGTAGTTGAACTCACTGATGGAATTTGAGATGCTTTCATATTTGTGTGAATGAGATGTTGATGGAACTTCAATGGACAGATTCTGAGTGAGAGCCACGATTAATTTTAGTTGAGCTGCTTCATTCTGAACTTGCTGCTGCTGCAAGATAGATTTGAGATCGTCCAGAGAGATAGACATTGTAACTGGGTTATAAATAACACAGTCAAAAATGTTCTATAGCTCCGCTGAACAGAATAAAACCCGTCGTCGCTTGTTTGTTATAACTGCAATCAATTAAGGTAAACCCCGTCGCCAATTGGTTATAACGGTAGGGAATTAAATGAGGACGTTGTCGCCTTGTTCTGTCTGCGCCTGACTAATATGCCTATCTGCATGTGGTACCTTACGATTCAGTGAAGCACGCAAATATCAAAAGACAAAGACTGGACTGTGACTGTGTATTGTAGTACAACAACAACGACAAAGAAAGTCATGGCATTTATACATTTTTACAACAATATAGGCAGCTAACAGCATTTGAAATAATTGATCGTAATAGTCAATAACAAAGTGTGTGGGATCCTATCACCTTGTCATGCATTAATGATGAATTCATTTCAATTCAGCTAGCCACACACGTTCAAGTTTTTCACAGGTTAATGATGCTTTAAGAAGAAAAGTGTTCAAACATTCAGTTAATTGTTTATATTTAGCAACATTAAAAGGATGCATCTGCTCCATATGAACAGCTACACTTTGAATTTCATCGGCCAACTTTTCAAAGGCACTAATATCGTCTTCATTAATTGTAGAAAACTATAGAGGACGGGAAAGGAGAGGAGAGGAAAATTATTGTCACAAAAAGTATTTCCAAGATTTACAGATGATATCATTTATTTCAAATTGGATTATAAAACAATATGGAGTACTGAATAGCTGTTTTGTCCCTGTTTGGGACTCATCATCAGTACGCACACTCACGACTCCACTGCGGATCAAACCCGGGCCTTTCAGGTTACAAGGCCTAGTGCGTTGACCATTCAACCACCAATGACCAGTTCATCAATAGTAACTTCTGTCAATTCGCTGGTGTTCAGAGCGACAGTCAGCTATTGTCATCATTGACGAATGTTTGTCCTCACACCCGACTGGGTGGACTCCTCTGGTCATGACATCTCACTAGAAATTCAGGAAACTTCCCCCCCCCACACCTGTGGTCAGTCACTAGTCAGAATCAATTACTGACTGATGGTCGTACTACAGTCCCGTATTGACAGAAATCACTGACTTTGGACACATGTGGTTGATGGGTAAACGAGTTTGGCCTCACAACCTGAAGATCCTTCGTTTGATCCCTGGAAGGGTTATGAGTGTGCACTGCCCAAGAGTCCCATACTATGACAGAACAGCTGTTCGGTATTCCGTTCTTGAACAATCCGTCATCAAACTTTTAGAAAAAATAACAAATAAGGAAGTTTCCTTAGAGCAAAGAAAATAATTAAAAAGCTGAGTTCCACGTCTTTTACAATTCCAGTCACCATAATCATCTGCTCTCAGTCAGTACTAATTTGAAGGAGGGGAAAACTACCTCATATGGCGAACTCTAAAACCAAATCAACGATGGACACGTTTTCATGAGCTATTGATAAAAAGGTTGGCAGAAGATTGCCGCTTCTTCTGCAGCACCTATGTAGAAAGTAGGAGGGTGTAGGCAACCTGAATGGGATCCTCTCGAGCCGCTAAAAACTAATGGCTGGAGGTTGTTGATGGCGTGCCTAAGGATTATTCTCAGTGGCGCAGATACTTGAATTGTGGAACTTTCAGAAAAAGTCCTACATTGGTAATCCAGTTTAGTTCAATAAAGAGGAGAAATATTTTTGCCTTCATGTCCCTTACAAAAGTGAAGGGAAAAATGCCAACATCTGGCGCTAACAACCGGACTGTTGAACACACAAGTCTACCCAGAAGAGCTGGTAAACCCTGATTCTGAACCTATAGTGTACATGAGCTCCAGAATCTGAACAGGTTAAATGATGTATGAACCTGTTTTGGTCACGCGTAACTATCGGAAACGCAGCCTCTAACGCCGCTCTTCCACTACTGCCTTGTGGATCAGACTGCAAATTAAAGGCTCGGAGAGTATGGCCCCTTAAGATACCTACCTGCTTCGGTCTCAGTGTCCAAACAGTATCCCAGCCAGGATTTTCTATGCACTAAGATATCAGCCATACAGATATCGAATGAGAGCTGGTGATACTTGTTGTGAACCAGAGGGCGACGCAATTCCTGAGCAACAAGTAAATGGGGATGCGACCACTGATCCTAATATTCTTCGTGAAGAAAATACAACTGAAACGAACAACGGGCATATTCTTTTGGAAAAACAACAACGTGTACGGCCTTACAATTTGCGTACCAGAGAAGCGTGACATAATGGCTCATTCTTTTTCAAGCGGCAGTGAATGTTGTGAACTTTTCTTATAATACGTATCTAGTCATATTCCTATCTCTACCGCTATTAACACGCTTTTTTTCCTTTATACGTTTAAGCCATTCCGGCTTCATTGTAAACTGAATAAAGCCTAAATTCTTGGTTCATTCATCTTTTCAAGATTCAAGCATCACTCATCGTTCTAAGACTCAGTCACCTTCGTAACAATACTACACAGACTAAAGTTGGTGAGACGGGATTCGAACCCGCAACCCTTTTAACTAAACACCGAATACCTAAACGCCAATGAACAACATCAAATAAGTAATACCAGATGCCACATCCCCCAACCCCGGTTAGAAATATATACACCAAATAAAAAAATTATTTCTTACCTTAAGTGAAAGATTACTGATCTGCTGTAGATCACACAATATATTCTTATGAGTGTATGAATCATCCAAGTGAATACTTTTCATAGGTAAACGATAGACAAGTGGAGAGAATTTCTCAAGTGTTAATTGTTGAACCCTGGGAAGTAATCCACCATTGTGACTATCCAAGGATTTATCCGCAGGATAAATCTCTGAATCATTCACGGGTATTTTTAAAGTTTTCATTAAATCTGTTAATAGGTCATACTTCAAAGAAAAAAGAAAAAGAAAATAACAAAAGAATTATCAGCATCATGGTTGTACGAGATTTGTTTGGTCTCCTCTATGTTACATTTGTACTACAAACTGATTGATGAATACTATGCGAGTGCAGTGTGCCACAAACTTTGTATCAACCTAATTGAACAGCTTTACAATGACGATGATCACGCCACATGTCAAGTGATCCACCACGGGAAACTAAGCAAAGTCTTTGAAGTGAAGACAGAAGTAAAATAAGGACTCACGACTATGATCAATGAAATTCCTGATTGTGGTGAACTAGATTATGCAACAGATCGTGGGGAGAGAGAAGACATATTTTCTCACGACCAATACTTGCGACATACCCATTGACGTAAAATACTGTCTACCAATTGGCTAGCAGCCTGCTCCCACCACAATATGTGAGACTGACAAAAAGACTCTAAAACATGTGGACTTCGCAGATTGTTTATGCCTGATGTCAGCGGATGTTACGCCTATATATAGAGAGAGAGCGAGAGAAGAAAGATAAAGCGTGCTCACAACATCTGATGTTTTCAATCAAATCAGATGTCACACAAGATGATGGATGTGAACTTGAAAACGACCTGAATATTAACATAAAACAACTGATACACCACTGAGTATGTGGTCTAATCGTAGAATATTCGCTGCCACACACAGAGAGTCTTCGTTTTATTTCTGTCGACGTGTACTATTCCAGAACCTTGTCTAGCCAGTAGTAAGCCTGGAATAAGGGTACGGTTCGACATAATATCAGCAACTACTCACTACCTGTGTGAAAGCCCCACCATCTATCTACGTTTTGTGGTGAGAGCTGGCTGCCAGCCAAATTGGAAGACAGTAATTTATGTCAATTTTTACGTCCCCAATATCCGTCGTGAGAAAAATATGAACAAAGACTGACTCAACAGTCAATCACAGCAGACTTTGAGTAGGCAGATACAGTTAACATATACATGACCTGACATTCAAGAAACAGTCACAAAGAGATAATAGGTCAACTTTCAGTGAGAAACAACCAATCAGAAAACTGTGTTTTTCTGCTTACAATAATCTATAATATTGTACATGAAAATCTTTAAATATGTGTTGATTTCCATAATAAACGATCTGTTGCCTGGTCCTTATCTTTTGTTGTTACATTTGGTGTCGCTGCCTACCGACAAATGGAAAGCCTATGCCCTGCAGTTTTTGATTGGAGACATATGGATCTTCGGGCAGAACTTCGAGGCTTTGACGCAGTTGAGTGGCATTCAAGACCTGTCAGCGATGAGACTGCTACTTGGGACGCTGCTGGGAGGTCGGGAGAAAGCAGCATATGTAAGTGTGAGGCAAACTACTGACGAATGTGCGACAGGGTTAGGTAAACACTTTCCAAATTGGGAAGGACCATATATGGTCACTTTGAGATGATGGGGTTACGCAGACACAATCGCAATGATAAACAAAGAGAAACAGGTGAACATCAGCGAGCGCCGCGATTCCAGACAACAAGACAAACGAACAAAGCCCCTAGAACCAAGAAAACGGAACCAACTTCAGTCGCAAGTTTTTGACAGGGGGACGAGTGTAGTGTAGTGGGAGCAGGCTGTTAGTCAAAATTGGTGGGCATTAATTTACGTCAATGTTTATGTTCCCAATATTGGTCGTGAGGAAAATGAGAACAAGAGTTTTGCGTAGGCGGATACGGTTAACGTATAGATGATCTGACATTCAAAAAAGGGCCACAAAGAGATGAAAAGTTAACTTTCAGTCAGAAACAACCAATCAGAAGACTGTGTTTTACTGCTAACAGTAATTTATAATATGTACAGGAAAATGTGTTGATTTCCATAATAAACGATCCCGTTGCCTGGCCCTTGTCCTCTGTTGTTACACTACTACTGAACCCTGTCTAGCCAGTAGTACGCTTGGAATAGGGGCAGAGTAGGACATGATGTCAGCAACTACTCACTACCTGTGTGAAAGCCCCACCATCTATCTGTGTCTCATTCAGCATGAAATGGGGAAACTGAGTACTAACAGTCCAAGCTATGAATGTTCTGAAAGGTTCTTACGGTTCCCCGCCGAGCTTAATGTCTGTTTTTTTGCTGTAAAGCTGAACAAAGTGATTCTAAAGGGTCATCTCTATCTCTCTCTCCCTCTGTCTAGATGAAACCTTATGACAAAGAAAACATTCACATTCTGTGTTACACAGTGCAAAAAACAAAAGATCGATTGCAAACACAACACACAATTTCTGGCTGAATAGAAGTTTTGGGGAATTTCAGATTACAGCCAACGGTGATAGGATGTAGGAGTAGCTGTCGCGTATTAAGATAGATTACATCCACCATTGAGAAATGTAGTGATTGAACAGACTTCTTCTGTATGCAGAGTTCAGGACTGAGAAAGTGAATTTTCATTGCTTCTGTGGTTTGAAGGAGTCTGATTCGTACACTTTTAGGAAGACTGCTTCATATTCTGTAGACGACTTTGAAGTTTGTTTGGAGGGGGGTGTAGGTTGATGTCGGGAATCTATCGGATTTTCTAAGATAGAGCTGGGGGGCATCGTTTTTCTCCTTTGTAAAACCATGCTGGTAATTATTCGCTTTTCAAACATTTCACCGAACAAATGAGAAAATCGACGCCCCCCCCAGCTCTATCTTAGAACATCTGATAGATTCCGGGCACCAAGCTACACACCCCGCCAAACAAACTACAAAGTCATCTACAGAAACCGAAGCAGTCTTCCTAAAAGTGTATGAATCAGACTTCTTCAAACCACAGAAGCAATGGAAATTCACTTTCTCAATCCTGAACTCTGCATACAGAAGAAGTCTGTTCAATCACTACATTTGCAGTGGTGGACGTAATCTATCTTAATACGCGACAGCTACTCCTACATCCTATCACCGTTGGCTGGGTGTTTATTGACTGGAGTGTTGATTACCCCTGGGTGTGAATTATGCAGATTCTACAAATCAGCTGACTGACTGTACTAATAAATTTTATCGTATGAAGCGTATAAATAGGAAAACGCAAAAAACACAAAATAGAATAAAATATTTTACCTCTTTGTGTAAATTTGTCACTGACTCGTACCAAGCCTGCCAATTTGATTTCGCTTTATGCAAACGAGTTACCCTCTCACATAAACGTTTTATCTCGCTGGACATTATTTCAATTTCTGTCTACAAAAAAAAAGTAACAACACACGATATAAACAAGCCGGAGATCAAAAGTGTTTCATAGAATTCGTTGTAAGCAAACTTCAGACTTTATGCTTAAGAATCACCAGAGTTCTTCCATTCGCCAAGCAAGAAGAAAAAAATAAACTCCGATCACGTTATCTGATCGGTTTGATATTACATATTACAAATAAATAAGAAAGCAAGAGAAGAAGTACACTACTACTGATTCACCTGGTTGGAAAACAGTGAAATTTGATGAGAACACGATTTAACTACTCATTTCAATCAATTAGTAGTATATAGCAGCATCATTGTAAAAAACAATTCAGTGTCGGTTAGCAGGGATTTGATCACGAGTTGATATCACCTAGACAACCATTGAAAACCACCACCAGGAAGGAAGTACTGGACAACCGTTTCCCCCATCCTAGTTTGGGACTCTCAAGCAATACTCACTTACTGGGTTTCGAACACAAGACCATCTGGTGACAAGGTGACCTTGTGGACCATACAGACACTGGGGCCCGATCCGGTAGCAAACCAACCATGAATTCTAACTTCTACCGGTTAGTGATTTTAGCACAACCATCAACTAATGTCGTCCATCGCAAGTGTTTGTCTTCACTCCCGACTGGGCGTACCCCACTACTAGTCACGCTATCTCACTAGAACTCCAGGTAACTTCGTGTTCTACAGTCAGCCAGTCACTAGTGAGCATCAGATTAATTTTCCAGAGTTAGTTAGTAAGGATTCAGAAAACACCTCACTCTTTCGGGTGAACCACTTGAAGTCGTTGATAAGTTTGTGTATCTGGGTAGTTCTGTGAGTGCTGGCGGATGAGATTTCCAACCATATCATGAAGGCTAGGGTGGCATACATTAACCTAAGCCACCTATGACGCCTTCGCGACGTTAGCATGGCTGTCAAAGGTCGAGTATACAATGCCTCAGTGAGGGCTGTCTTGCTCTACGCCAGGCCTGGTCTCTCCGAGTAGGCTGAGGATGTGCGGCGACTCTCTGTGTTCGATCATTGCTGTCTCCGCAGGATTGCTTGCGTTCGATTGATGGGATCATCGCGTGAGTAATTCTGAAGTTCGGCGGCGTGTGTTTGAACACAGTGGTGCAGATCACCATTCATCATTGAGTGTCGTCATCTGGAAACACCGGCTCCAGTGGCTTGGACATGTGCTGTGAACGTCATCCCTGAGGCTCCCGTACAGCCCTGGGACGGGATGGAAAAGGCGGAGGGGTGGTCAGTCCATGACGTGACGTCGTGGGATCAAGGATGTTTGTGTCACATTAGCATCGGTTGGAGTCCGCGAGACCGCTCAAATCGATGGCTCGAACGTTATCGGATATGGCCAAGAATCGTAATCAATGGCGATGATAGTTGACGAATACTGTTTGAACTTGTTAAGTATGACTGTTTCCCTTCCAGATGAATTTCTTTATCCGTTCTCTACTTATATTTTTTACTTTTGATCTATGTTGTTTTATTATTATTGTGTGGCGCATCTTTCTTGGTGTAATATTTTACTGAGTTTTTTCTGCGTTTAAATAAATAAATAATACTAAGGATTGAATTTCGTTTCAGGTTTAATCACGGATTGATAGAAGTTAAAATTCATCGACTGGCCATTGAGGACTTGGCTCCCCTCCCCCCCCCGTGACTGAATGGTCTACAAGCTTACCGTGTAATCGAAAGATTCTGGATTCGTCTCCACCCCCCATCCCTTCGATGCGTACGCACTGATGAAGAGTTCCAAACTAGGATAAAACAGTTGTCTAACAAAAAAACAACAACAAAAAATCAATAAATCAGTAGACTTACGTAATCAGATTCTATTTTGTTTACAATGTAACTGGATGTACAACGCTGATATAACAACCACAGGGAGTATGCAGCCAATGATATATCATCATAGCACGTGGTGGAGGCACTACTACTATTTAATTCTTCTGATATTACTGAAAATGCACGTGGATTCTCTTGTTTATCTGAAGTGTTTCCTTTTGAAATCCCGAGTGTTTGTTGCAGACTGTTTGAAGGAATTGCTGAGGCTACTGAATCCTATGCCGTAATAATAAAAATAAAAGTCAATTTTAATAAGAGATTTAGATTTAGAAACAAGGTGTTTCCGATGATTTGAAAAGGTACAAGAACGCACCCCCACCCCGCCCCACTAAAAAACAGTGAAGGAACCAAATAGGTTTCAAAGCTACTCCGTCAAACCTGACATAGATGATTAATAATGACACGGCGTCGGTGACACAGCGCTAGAATGCTGGCCAACCATGCACACAAGTGATTGGGTGTTTGACTCCCGGCTGACGCGCTCCTAAACCTTGTTGAGCCGGTAGTAATAAGATCGGTAGGGCGTGAAGGTTGGTTATGAGAGGCTAGCAACCACACCCAACACAAAAATAAACACCTTGAGGCCCTATGCTCCACTAAAAACGTAAAATAAAAAATATATAAATAAATAAACGCGGATGATATAATTAGAATGTAGCGAATCTCAAAGATCACAAAACGAGTTTAAGCCATGTCATCAGCGATTTCCACGACGATCGCACGTTCCTATCATGGCTGAAACCAGCAGTCAAGGTTTCATCATGGCGTCAACATTTTCGTCTGATCATTGCTAACCCTTTTGCAACCCAAGTCCTAAGTTAGCTAACATTGCTCGACAGAGATAACAATGATGTCTCCGCATGTGTGAAACACCCAAGCCATTGCAATCAATACAGCTTCATATCCAGCTATCATAAACTGATTTCCCCTCCTTGCCTAACACTATACGTCAAACCTTACTGTCCATGATGACAGTATACAATATAACACGATAGACAGATAGGTAGAACACAGACACTTATCGTGAAAAACAGTCAGTTTGTGGTGAGAGTTGTATTTAAGACAAAATTGTAGACAACAATTTACGCCAGAAGCCTATATAGAAAACTATATGCTCGCACTAGAAATATGCTAGCATCTACTTTTCTAGCACCTTCAAACACTGTTCAATTTCGGCTTTGCTAGCGACATGCTAATATATTGTTGTCAAAATTAACTGAGACTACCCATAATCTATGTAGAATTTTATTTATTGATAATGTACAAACTGGATGCAATACTGTAGTGAAATGCTGAGAATTCTATTCTGTATCACAAGTACTGTTTTGAAATAAAGCATATTATTATTATTATTATTACGTCAATGTTTACGTCCCAAATCTTGGTCATGAGAAAAAACAAGAACAAAGCGTAGCCTTAACAAACTCAACAACCAATCACAGCAGACCTTGCGTGGGCGGATACGATTAGCAGATAAATCACCGGACTGCCTAAGAAACGGCCACAAAGAGATAACAGAATAACCTTCATCAAGAAAACAACCAATCAGAAGACGTTGCTTCTTTACTAACAATAACGCTAATAATAATGTACATAAAAATCCAAAAATATCTGTTGATTTTCTCACAAAATAAGCGATCTGTTGCCTGGTCCTTGTCTTCTGTCGTTACAAGTTAACTAGCCTCATCTTCATATCTTCCACTTCTAACGGTAACATTTCACAGCCATTAAGAAGGATTAAGTGAACTGCTGCGAAATCCCAGAAGTAGCAATTGGGGGTCATGAATATACACAATAAAATTTTGAAATAATCTATGATAATATTTCCCTTAAGTTCAATGTTGTGTGTACAAATAAAAAATCATGGAGTAAAGCTTTCGAAGGTCTGTCAATATCAGATAGACGCTTTTGTACAACTGGTTCCATTTATTATTGATTAGAGTTTGAACTAAGAAAGAACAAATACACTTTCAGAATAATACGACCTCTTCAACTGCGTATATCCTGAACAAAATCAATTATAGGTTACAAAAATTTTCGAAAATACATTTTAAAATGACTGTGTTAACTTCAACAAGCTTGACAGAGAAACGCAGCAATATGTTCAATTCCCCTACTTTCACCGGATCCTTGGAATTCTTTAATGAGCGCAATAACTCTTCGAAATTTTCAACGTGGCACACTTATCAACAAATTCATCCTAAAACGTGAATCAAACATTCCGTCTCCATTCCTGGATGTACTACTTACTGGAAGAGGACTACTCGATCGAAAGATCATTCTACCGCAAATTTATATGGACCGGACCGAAACTCGTCTGTCGAGGAAGGCGATGACTAGGCATACGTAACACATGTCCTAACCATCTCAGTCTTTGTAACTTCACAACTTCGTCGATTCATTTCCCCTACTTACCTAGCACTCGACCAAAGTCTAACCTCAATATTGCTCATCCTATTATACCACTTCACACGGGATATGGAACGCAAGCACCTATGATGAAAGACAGTAAGCTGGGCTTTTCATGTCTTCCACTCTCAATGGCAAGGCCTCACTCACAGTGATAAAGGAGGACGGAGCGGACTGATGAGCAGTACACCCGCCCTTTGGTCGATAGTCGAATATCTCGTCTACGCCATAGGCGGCGTAAACTGGCAAATGCGAAACGAGCCCCCTGTATCCGTACTGAGATTTCGTCAGAGATCAACCCACTTGGGATGGCTGATGGCAATTCCAAAATAAGAGAAGCGGTCAACGTGCTCTACCACTTCACTCCCTATTTCTAACCTAAGAATCAATGTAGTCCAGTCCTGTAGCATCATCTTACATTTGGCGGGAGCGAATCGCATACCAAACATTCGTAGATTGCAGCTCAAGGTGTTTAGAAGACTCTGCATTTTGTCAGCGTCCTCGCCTAGTAGGACTATATCGTTTGCATATTCTAAGTCAACGAGATTGTTCCCTAGTAGCAGCAAACAAGACAGGTTAACAGAACGAGTTTATGCAATATTATAATGGAGAGTTCAGGAGGGTGAGTGGAGGGTGGGGTGAATAGTTAAGTAAAATTATAACATAGACAAAACACTTAAGTAGATTTGCAAACTTAATAATGACTGCAACTCAGGAAGTGAAAATCAAAATCACTATTCACTAATATCTCTTTAACGGGAACTGTATGCTACCAACCTATGTGAGTGTATCAATTCAAAAATAGTCTGAATGTTGGTATACCAACTAGGCATGTCAAAGAGCTAATCCTGAGATGCCCACTTAGTGGTCAAATATACCAACAGAAAGATGGGATAGCAATGAATTCTTCACTTGGTTGGTCCATTGCTTCATGCTGCGCACCCTGAGTTAAATATCCTCCTACAAACAATAAAACGGTCTGAAGTTTACAAGTGATCTAAACTAAATCTTGCAAATCTTCAACAACACTCATCAGTCAGTCGAATTCAATTCAGACGGTAAATTATTCTTCTTGGGTGTTCAGCTTACAAGACAATCAGATAGAAGTCTACCCAAGGTCAATCTACCACAAGTCAAATTGGAATAGACAGCTAACCAACTATTACAGTTTTGTCCTAATAAGCACACACACACACACACACACAACAATCGAAGACTTACAAGCGAAAACCGACAAACTGGTCGAAGAAACAGACAGAAGACAGGACTCCACGTGAACATAGACAAGACGGAGGTGATGAAAATAACTAACCAACAACAATAACAACAACAACAGCATCAACATCCAGCGCCAATCACCATCAACGGGTGATTTGGGATTTGAAAGAGGTTACTTCATTCACTTCACTTATCTAGGGAGCATTGTCTCAACTACAGGAAGTCGGAACGAACGAGGATGTCAAATCGAGCGAGAATCGGGAAGGCGAGCGAGAAACACATTCATCAACCTGAAACAACCAATCTGGAAATCTTCGTCACTCACCATCAACAACAAAATTCGGTCGGATCATCAATACAAACGTCAAGTCAATTAGTTCTTCTATACGGATCAGAAGCTTGGTGGGTGGGTCACAAAGAATATTTCCAACAGCTTGTTGCATGCACACCTTCATCAACCAACAACTGTCTTCGCTGGCTCTATACTGAAGATCAGATGGCCGGTCCGGAAAGAATCACCAACAAGAAACTCTGGCTGGGAACAAACAAAACAAGAACCAACCAATCGCCAACCAACAAATATGCAGGAGAAAGTGGAGATGGATTGAACACTCGCTGAGTGAGGAGGCCTCTGGGTAACATTGCGCGCGCGTCGGGCCATTGCTCGAGTGGAACCTGGCCGAAAGGGAAGCACGCGGCGAGTGGGACGTCCAATGGTTGCATGGAGGAGATGGTGTGAAGAGGAGTTGAAACAGTATGAACTAACATGAATGTAGGTGAAAAGTACAGCTGAAGACAGAAGCAAGTGGAGACGTTCAGTTGAAGCCTTATGTTCCACTAGGAACCCAAGGGAGCAACAATAATAAGCAGAAAAGGAAATCTCATATTCTCTCTTGTGAGGGAGGAGGACGCATTGAATAAGGAATTGGAATCCAACAAAAAAACTCTAATTAAAAAAATGGATATCCAACCTTCTTCATCAGTAAAACATATAAAGAGAAAGACGGATACTCCTCGAAACCAGCATGTGCCGAAGTAACAACTAGTTGTAAATCTGAAATTCATCGGAGATACACAATTAGTGGGGTCCTCAAAAGCCGACTGTCGACAGCAATTTATAGAAGGTTCTTTGCTGCATCCCTACGTCTCACCTCCGCTACACATGCTCCTATTCACCATAAAGTCAAAGACAAGATCCCGCGCTGTTGGCAACTTCACCTGCTCCTATGGAGCTTAATTAGCATAGGCCTTAACTGAAGGAAATTATTTAGAAGTGCCCATGAACACATACCAGCATGGCTGTCAAAAGCAGAACCTAGAACAGTCAACAGCTCAATTCAGGAGCATATTACTATTATCAATTATAATGCGTAGACTAAGAGGTGATCGGGAGGAACAAACACGAGAACCAGGTAGGCTTTAGACCAGGAAGATAATATCTCCACCCTTCGACAGATTCTGGAACCGGACACAGGCATATTTACCGGCGTCCAAGAATCGTTACGTTTCTTGCGGAATTCGATTCTGTCGACTAACTGGTACTCTGGCGATGTTTGGCTGTGAAAAGAATGCCAAGAAAATACATCGCGCTGATCAAGCCACTCTACCGGAACTCATGCAACCAGGTGGGAGCTTATGGCGAGTTGTCATCTGAAGTGGTTACAACTAGTGGTGTCCGTCAGGGATACGCAATATCCCCATTCCTATTCAATTTCATTATAGATGTACTAATGGATTTAACCATAAGTGAATTCAGAGACTCAGGGATTGACTTGCTACCAGGGAATAATCTCGTTGACTTAGAATATGCAGATTATATACTCCTCTCTCTTAGGTGAAGACGCTGATAAAATACAGAGTCTTCTAAACACCTTGAGCTGCAATCTACGAATGTTTGGTATGCGATTCGCTCCGCCAAATGTAAGATGATGCTACAGGACTGGACTACATTGATTCTTAGGTTAGAAATAGGGAGTGAAGTGGTAGAGCACGTTGACCGCTTCTCTTATTTTGGAATTGCCATCAGCCATCCCAAGTGGGTTGATCTCTGACGAAATCTCAGTACGGATACAGGGGGCTCGTTTCGCATTTGCCAGTTTACGCCGCCTATGGCGTAGACGAGATATTCGACTATCGACCAAAGGGCGGGTGTACTGCTCATCAGTCCGCTCCGTCCTCCTTTATCACTGTGAGTGAGGCCTTGCCATTGAGAGTGGAAGACATGAAAAGCCCAGCTTACTGTCTTTCATCATAGGTGCTTGCGTTCCATATCCCGTGTGAAGTGGTATAATAGGATGAGCAATATTGAGGTTAGACTTTGGTCGAGTGCTAGGTAAGTAGAGGAAATATCAATCGAGGTTGTGAAGCTGCATCGACTGAGATGGTTGGGACATCTGTTACGTATACCTAGTCATAGCCTTCCTCAACAGGCAGTCCTAGCTGACACAGAATGGATCAGGTTGGAAAAGAGCCAGTGGTGGTCAAAACAAAACATGGCTTCATAAGTCAATGAACTCCACAACAGTTAGTTTAGGCCAGCCAGTCACGTAGGGAGGTGTAGACTTGCTTACTGGCTGGTTGGGGTCCTCGGGATGGTAAACATCAATGGCTACAGACAATTGGTGATATGGCTAAAAGTCGTTCTGAATGGTTGACACAGATGCACCTTTGTGGGAGTGTACCGAGGAAGAGTCCTAAACTAGGACGGAACAGCTGTCCAGTGCTCCCACCTGGATATCCAATGGTTCTCTAACCAATCTCAGCTCATGACGAAATCCTGTAACAAAACGATTATTCATTACTCAAGTAATCAGGTGTCAACCCTTTTGATTACGTAGGACTATTCCTAATATTTTCAAACATAGTTATTACTCATGTACTTTGGCTTACTTTATTATGAACCGACAATAATCTTTGACCTCTGTTGTCAATCTATATTGCACATATAAACACCACCCTCCCCCAAATAACGGTACAGATTTCAAGTAAAGTTACGAAGAAAAGAGATTTCTTTGCTGACTCATGGGCTCTCTTAAAAACAAGCAAAAAAGAGATAATCAAGTGTTGGTTTATGGGGGATTTGATTAGTTTCAAGATTTCATCATGAGCTGACATCGGTCGGTCAGAGAATCATCGGAAAACCTGGAAGTACTGAAGAGCTGTTTCGTCCCAGTAGTTTGGGACTCTTCATCACAGTACGCACGCACGCACCAGGATTTGAACCCAGATAGAATATTATGACTGACACACACACACACACACACAAACGACAGACTAATAGACAGGCAAACAATAAACAGTAGACTTACATTTATGGTTAATGAAACATTAGCTCCCGATTTTGGAGAAGATTGGTGTTTTTTTACAATTCGATTACTGTACCGACCAACAGTAATTGGTTCGTCTCTTGCACATGATGTCTACAAAAGCAGAATTAAACGGAATATACGCCTGCTTACGTAACGTCTCTGAGTTGTCGCCTTATTAGTCAACTGACGTGGAGCACCTAGAAGAAGTATGAAACAACCCCGGTAGAAAAGAAAAATCTTAATACAAGTGAACAGCAGTATGCAATATTAGTAGGTGAAATCAAGACACTGAACAATCTGGATCACTAATAGTCGTACGTTGCACCAAATTAATTTAAAGATATACAAACGAAAACCAACAAATTGGTAGAAGAAGCAGACAGGAATTCAGGTGAACACGGAGGAGATAGAGGTGATGAAGACAACCACCCACCCACCTACCCAACAACAACAGCAACAAGCACCAATTGTCATCAATGAGAGAAATCTAAACGAATTTGCGTTTCTTTCACTTACCTAGACAGAGAGCGCGTCCTGTCAATTACAGGCGGCACGGATAATGAAATCAAGAACCAGCCTGAATCGGATCGAGACAGCACTACAGTACAAAGAATAAAAATCCCAACTTCTAATTCTAATGTCAAGTGACTGTGTCCATATGCTCCAGAGTCTTAGTGCACGTGTCGCAGACAACTGACTTTCATCAGCACTTGCCCTCTTCGATCGATATTGAATATTAAACGGTCAGACAGAAGGGATAAGCTACAGAGGACTCCAGCAGTGCAGTGAACCAGCTAACTACCAATTACCTGCGTCGGTGGCACAGCGCCTAGGACTCTCGCCGATCATGCACATGTTCCGGGGTTCGGTCCTCTACCGACGCACACCCGATATCAATAGCCGGCCTGCAAAATTTGGGCTACCGATATCACATGCTGAAAATTCCATACCTCTACCAAAAGTACAATGTGGAATCAAGCTGTAATCAAAAATGAATATGCAGCAAGAAATGGAGATGAATTGAACATATGCTGAAGATACTGTTGAGTCACACATCACATGCGAGATCCTGGAATGGAACCCGAGTGGGTAGTGACGAACTACACGCCAGAGTATGACATGGAGGAGATCATGTGAAGGGGAATAGGCATTTTTAGGGCCAGCTTAATATTACAGCAGAGAATAAAGTGGAATGCAAATGTGCTGTTGACACCCTTCGTTCTACTGCCTAATCGACGAATGAATAATAATATAGACAAATAAAAGAAACATCAACCAGAAAGGTACTGTCACCGAAAACCCGCTATTCGTTTGATAAACCAATATTTCGTCATCAATATCTTCATGAATCCATTCAGTTCTATCGTCATCAATTAGTACTTGATATATGATACCCACACTACGGCGCGCAGCGCCCAAGTATTTGTCAACCTCATCCAACAACTGGCTGTATGACAATGACACGTGTCAGGTGATCCACAATGGAGAACTCTGAAAGGCGGTCCGAAGTGAACACAGGAGTTAAACAAGCCTGGCTGCCCACTACTGTCGCCGACGATATTCCTAATTGTGGTTGACTGACTAGATTATGAGTCAGAATGTGTGTGTGTGTGTGAGCGAGGAGACAGGAATACTCTGGATCAACGCAAAGAAGACTCCATCTAGAAGATCTGGACTTCGCAGATGATATAAGTCAAGTTGTGGTGCGACCTGGCTACTAGCCAAAATTGGTAGACAGTATTTTACATCAATATTTAAGGTCCCAATATTGGTCTTGAGAAAAATATGAACAAAGACTGATTCAACAGCCAACCACAGCAGATTTGGCGTATGCGGATACAGTTAACATATAGATGACCTGACATTCAAAAAACAGTCAGAAGGAGATGAAAGGTCAACCTTCTGTGAGAAACAAGAGTGTGTTTGTTTGCTTGAATAATCTATAATAATGTACATGATAATATATAAATACGTGTTGATTTCTTTAATAAACGATCTGTTGCCTGGCCCTTGTCTTCTGTTTTTGCACAGTGTCACACAAACTCCAAGACTTAAAGGCAGACGAAAACCAACAAACTGGCTGAATAAGCAGCCAAAAGAGGCAGAACTCCACGTGAACATAGAGAAGACGGAGGTGATGAAGATAACCAGCCAACCAACAGCAGCAACAACGATAACAACAACCAGCATCAATCACTATCAACGGGAGAGATTTAACAGAGGTTACTTCCTTCACTTATCCAGCCAGAAAGCATCATTTCAACTACAGGCCAGCGGAACGGATGAATATGTCAAAACCAGCCGGTCAGAATCGGAAAGTCAAGACACGCCCTCATCAGCCTGAAACCAGTTTGCAAATCTGCTTCACTCAGCCAGCATAAAGAACCAGATTCAGATTCCCAACACCAATGTCAATTCGGTTCTTCTATACGGGTAAGAAACTTGGCCAGCATGTCACGAAAACGATGTCCAACAGGCTACTGCAGTCTTTTATCAATAGCTGCCTTCACTGGCTGGCTCCATACTGAAGATCAAATGGTCGGCGAGAAAGAAACTCTGGCTGGAAACAATCCAACCAAGAGCTTAACAAAATATGTAGGAGAAAAGCAGGCCATTGCTCAAGCAGAATCCCAATGGGAAGCAACGAGTCGGTCGGTAGTGCGAGGGTGACACAGAGGAGATCTTAAGAAGAGGCGATGAGAGATAATAGGCAATCGTGGACACAGATGAGGAGAGTAGAAAATAGAACAAAGTGGAGATGTGTTGTTGAAGCCAGCCCTATGTTCCACTTGAAACCAAAGGCAAGAATAATAATAATAATAAATATGTGTCATGCTAAACTGAATTTAATTGACTTTTCAACGTAGAACTTTGAAAAAGAAGTTCAGAAATTCAAGTTGTCACATCTCATAAAAAGAGAAAATAAAAGTGCAAAGTAACTATAATCAACTGTCTGTCTCTGTCTGTTTTCGACATAGAACTTTGCACAAATGTGCGGAAGTTCAAGTCGCCACATTCCGTGTAGCACGCGAAGCAAGAGAAGAAAGTACAAGAAAAGCATAATAGAAACAGTGAGCAGAGGTGTGAGACAAAGGAGTAATAAAGAAATACAAAACAATTTCATTGAAGATCATAAGTCACAGAGAGTGGATGCATCTGCGCCCCTGAGAACGATTTTGAGCCATGTTACCAATTGTTTCCAACCATAGATTTTTACCGTCCCGAGGACCCCAGCCTGGAAGTCTACACCTTCCTACGTGGCTAAGACCAACTGTTGTGGATTTCATTGACTGGTGACATGTTTTGGTTTGACCTCCTAGCTTTTTTCCAGCCTGACCCTATATCCGCTAACATAGCTCGTCGAGGGAGGCGATGACTTGGCATACGTAACACATGTCCTAACCATCTCAGTCGATGTAGCTTCACGACTTCGTCGATTGATTTCCCCTGTTTACCTAGAACTCTACGCCTAACATCAATGTTGCTCACCTTATTATGCCACTTTACACGGGAAATAGAACGCAGGCACCTATGATCAAACACAGCTAGTCTTTTCATGTCTTCCACTCTCAGTGGCCAGGTCTCACAACCATAAAGGAGGACGGAGCGGACTGATGAGCAGTACACCCGCCCTTTGGTCGATAGTCGAACATCTCGTCTACGCCAGAGTCGGCGTAAACTAACAAATGCGAAACGAGCCCCTTGTATTCGTGCTGAGATTTCGTCAGAGATCAGCCCGTTGGGGCTGATGGTACTTCCCAAATAAGTGAAGCGGTCAACATGCTCTACCACTTCACTTCCTATTTTTAAACTAGGCGTCGATGTAGTCCAGTCCTGTAACATCATCTTGCATTTGGCGGGAGCGAATCGCATGCCAAACATTCGTAGATTGCTGTTCAAGGTGTTTAGAAGACTCTGCATCTTGTCAGCGTCTTCGCCTAGAAGGACTATATCGTCTACATATTCCAAGTCAACGAGATTATTCCCAGGTAGCAAGTCAATCCCTGAATCGCTGAAGTCACCTAGGGTTAAGTCCATTAACACATCTATGATGAAGTTGAATAGAAAAGGAGATAATGGGCATCCTTGACGGACACCACTGGTCGTCATCAGTTCAGATGACAGCTCGCCGTAAGCCCTCACCTGGCTGTATGAGTACGAATAGAGTGCCTTAATCAGTGCAATATATTTTCTCGGGATTCCCTTGACAGCCAAGCATCTCCAGAGAACTTCCCGATCGACAGAGTCGAATGCTGCCTTTAGGTCAAAAAATATAGTGACTGTTGGACGCCGGTAGGAATTCCTATATTCTAGAATCTGTCGGAGGGTGAAGATATGATCAATACACCCTCTTCCTGGTCTAAAGCCTGCCTGGCTCTCTCGTGTTTGTGCTTCCCGAGCACCACTCAGTCTACGCATGATTATTGTACCTAAGACTTTAGATACTATATTAGTCAAGCTAATCCCTCTGTGATTATCACAGGAAGACTATAATCAACGGAAATCAACGGGAAGAGGAATAATTACATGAAGAATAGTGAGAGTTCAATAGCTATCGGTGTTCATAAAGATTGAATACATCCACGTTATTGAAAGCGATTTTTAGCCGCCGCATCCCAAAAAGCCTCCACCAATTGATTTTCAGCATCCGCATCTCGTTATGCTACTCAAAGCGATGGTCAAATTTTGTTCGTGGACTGATGGCAGGTTTTGATTTGACCACTCTTTCCCAACTTCACCTTATGTCACAGTTAACATTTCTCAACAAGGAAGGTAATAACTTGGCATAGGTAAAATATGTCCCAACAATTTCAATCGATGCAGCTATAATGACCTCACTGATTGAGTTTTCATGCTCCCTTACAAGTTTACAATTACTCATCCTATCATACACAAACTATTGTATAAAAATTTAGCTCGTAAATCTTCTAAAGATAGTAGTAGTATCTAAGCATAGGTCAAAGTATTAGTTGGGAACAGCTAGCACTCACCTTGACAGACATAAGTTTCGCATATGCCAGTTTACGCCGTCTATGGCGTAGACCTGATATCCGGCCGACTACCGACCAAAGAGCGTGTGTACTGCTCATCAGTCCGCTCCGTCCTCCTTTATCACTGTGAGTGAGGCCTTGCCATTGAGAGTGGAAGACATGAAAAGCCCAGCTTACTGTCTTTCGTCATAGGTGCTTGCGTTCCATATCCCGTGTGAAGTGGTATAATAGGATGAGCAATATTGAGGTTAGACTTTGGTCGAGTGCTAGGTAAGTAGAGGAAATATCAATTGAGGTTGTGAAGCTGCATCGACTGAGATGGTTGGGACATCTGTTATGTATACCTAGCCATAGTCTTCCTCGACAGGCAGTCTTAGCTGACACAGAATGGATCAGGCTGGAAAAGAGCTAGCGGCGGTCAAACTAAAACATGGCCTCACCAGTTATTTAAACATTAATGTTGTTTATAACACTAACTCATTCATTCACTACAATGTATGTATAAATGTAGAGCCTGATGATGAATTTATCGAAAAGAGTACTCTTTGTTCAGTATCCATTCTTTTAAAAATTTTAATGGGCATTTTTAATCAGTTAAAATCCACAACAGTTAGTTTAAACTAGCTAGTCACGTAGGAAAGTGTAGACTTCCTGACTGGTTGGGGTCCTCAGGACGCTAAAAACCAATGAAGGCTAGAGACAATCGGTGATATGGCTGAAAATCGTTCCCAATGCATAGCGTAGATGCATCCACTCCTTGTGACTTATGATTTCCAATGAAACTATATTGTTCTTCGTTATTACTATTCCTTTGTCTCACATCTCTGTTTACTGTCTCTATTATGCATTTCTTCTACTTTCTTCTCTTTCTTTGTGTGCTACATGGAGGGAATGTGGCGACTTGAACTGCCGCACATCGCTGCTGATACGACATGGGCAGCGAATGGGGAGCGCCATACAAAATAATCAGACAACAATTCAAGGAAGAGAGAAATAAAATAATTGAAAACTAACAGAATAAAAACAAATGAGCATATTTACTAAGAACACCTATAAAAGTGGTCGTTATTGCATACTACTTTCGCAAATGAATTCTTAATCATATCTTATAACGTCTTACGACCTATTGGACCCAATCCGCGGATTCATGGTGCACTGATAGATAACTAACCCAGCAAAACTAGCCTTCACTACACGGTACCATGCCATACTCTGACAGACTTCCCGCTTTCCTCAAGGGTTAGTCGCTGTGATTATATTCATAGTGCATGTCTAAGCCAACGAAGATGGTGTCACAAAATGATATCACTTGTTGAAAGACGATGTTCAATCTTTCCAAACATACAGTAGGACTTCAGAATCGCCTACACGATACCACTATCTTGTACAGGCAATCCTAGGAAGATAGCTATTATCGCATACAAGAAATCGCCGCACATCCTCAGCTCAGCGAGGCCAAGTTTCCTAGGTGCATAACAAAACTGTATGCACAAAAGTGTTGTAAATCCTAATTGAGACCTCCAGACTAACATTGTTACGCTGCTAACGATTATCCACATTGCAGTGTGGCCCTATGTCTTCATTACACCTCCATCAGCACTCACACAATTACATATAGACACGGACTTTTCCATCACTCACCGCGACTGGTGAGTGAGTGAGTCTACACAAAAACTAGCAGCGTAACAGTACTATACACTCAACTGTTTACAATCACACAATTGATAACAATATAAAAGGAGTTTCACGAAGGTCGTTAACGCTCTAGCTTGTGCAATGGATGAGAAGACTCATTTGATTCGTAAGTTTTGTTGACGATAATCTACAAACATGTGTTAAACACGCCGAATGGCAGAAAACGGAACTCCATTATTATAAATAATCAGCAGTACGTACGTGTTGACTCCAGTAATTAGGAAATAAAATAAGACAAGTATTTTCATCATTTCATCGTCAGCATTATTGATCCCGAACGATAGCTGCTACCTTGAGGTGGTGGTAGGGCTTGCACATCGCAATGACCCAGCAAGCTACACTAGCTGGAATTAATGTTCCTGCAGCTCTTACCATGACAGGAAGATTGTTAGGATAACGATTAGACTAAAATCAGTTACGAACTCATTGTAAGATTTTTTATATATTATGCTGGCGGTCTGTGGGTAAAGTCATACTGCTGGGGAACATGGATGTAACAGCAATAAGGTATTTCCCTCAGATGCCCAGCATGTCAGCCAGCTATGCTGTCTCTCCACCCTGGAGAAGGAGATTAACAAAGGTCGACCCGAAAATTATAAATTATGACTTGCTCTACGGGGGTCCGCAGCCGACGATAAGTTACCAGTACGGAACCAAACTTGAAAGCCAGCTGAAACAGGCTATGTGTGACCAGCTTCAAGCAGTTGTCCCCATGTGGTCTTGGGTCACGCAACACTAGTTCTCTTTCTGTTTCAGGTACCCCAAGAAAAAACCAACTCCCATGGTTTGAGTGGCCCGAGGGTGACAAGCCCCCCCCCAAAAAAAAACACTTGCAGAAGCACGCGAAGGCCTCCTTCAATCAGTCATTATTATTATCATTATTATTATTTGAAGAATGAAAATCAGGTAAACATACCGCACTCAGTTTTTCGCTTGGGATGCTTGAAAGGATTTTCTTTGGTGTCACTCATTTAGTGTCTTCACAGTTCATACAAATATACAGAGTTATGCAACAACTGCAGTAGTACAGTCGACCAAAGGACAAAAATATCACTGAAAACAAAAACATCAAGATTATAATTGATGAAGAAGTAACATAACAAGCCGTATGCAAAGTAAAGGTCACGAAAAGTATTCTGCTCGAACCAAAGAGGGTCAATACAGTGACTGATAGACAAAAGACATCGACACAAAACTTTGGTAAACGAAAGATTACAGTGATCCTCTCACTCATAAGTAAGTACAACGCATTCTTAAATGTCGATATCTCGTGCTATTCTTATTTTCATTCCTTTCAAGTGGAGTATAGGGCTTCAAACTCTGAGGTTCTACTTGTGATATTGTAGTTTTTACGGGTGGTGTCGGCTACCTCATAATGAACCTCCACACACACACACACACAGACGTCGTCTTCGGATTTACAACTGGCTACTAAACTAGATGTCGTCCGGGAGTCGAACGTTGACCATGTCAGTGGCTGGCGAGCATCCTACCACTGGACTACAGACGTACCGGAACACTTGCAAATTTCACTGCTGAGACCATTCTTTACATAGTTTAATGTTATTGAGTAATTCTAGTCTACTAATTTGTCACCGACAAGAGAGTTACACTTAGCAACTTGTGGTCCTTATACAGAACCTTACACACACAGTAACATTTATGAAACGTCTTATAAGCTAATTCTTACAGTTATCAAGTGTTGGTTTTCAGGGATTTCATTGGTTACAGGATTGATTACAAGGTGACATCAGCAAGAGAACTACTGGAAAACCAGGGAGTACTGATAAGCAGAAATTCTGAATGCGATCACGTAACTGAAGACTGGGAAAGCAGCAGGACCAGATGCCATTCTTCTCCCCCCCCCCAAACACTGCGAGCGGAACCAGAAACTGTAGCAGATGTTCTCACGCCATTATTGCAGAAGGTTTGGAAGAAAGGAAAGGTGCCTACTGACTGAGCTACCAAAGAAGGGAAATCTAGGCCTGAGCAAGAACTGGCGTGGAATAATGCTCTTGTCCACCCACACCAAGTAAAATACTAAGTCGCATCATCCTGGAGAGAATAGAAGATGCACTGGATACAGAACTCCACCAGTCCAGAACAAGCTGGATTCAGGAAAGGCAAATCATATGTTGACCAAACTGCAACTCTACAAATCGTCATCACCCAACAAAGTATAGAATGGCAGTCAACTGTGCCTCTACCCCAACTTCATCAACTTCGAAAAGGCCTTCAACAGACAGCGTTAACTGAGAAGTAATTTGGAAACTACTTCAACATTACGGCGTGGAGTGGCCAAGTATTTACAAACTTAGTTCAACAGCTGGCTATATGACAGTGCCACGTGTCAGGTGATCCACAACGGAAAACTCAGCGAGGCATTCGAAGTGAACACAGGAGTAAAACAAGTCTGGCTGCCCACTACTATCACAGATGATATTCTTAATTGTGGTCGACTGACTAGATTATGCGTCAGACTGTGTGTTGAGAGCGAGAAGACAGGAGTAGACTGGACCAACGATAAGAAGACTTCATCTAAAAGATCTGGATTTCGCAGATGATATGTGTATAATATCACACAAATTCGAAGACTTAAAGGCAGACGAAAACCAACAAACTGAATGAAGAGTCTGGCAGCCAGAGAAGACAGGACTCCACATGAACATAGAGAAGACGGAGGTGATGAAGATAACCAGCCAACCAACAGCAGCAACAACGATAACAACAACCAGCATCAATCACTATCAACGGGAGAGATTTAACAGAGGTTACTTCCTTCACTTATCCAGCCAGAAAGCATCATTTCAACTACAGGCCAGCGGAACGGATGAATATGTCAAAACCAGCCAGTCAGAATCGGAAAGTCAAGACACGCCCTCGTCAACCTGAAACCAGTTTGCAAATCTTCTGAACTTCGCCTCAGCAAGAAGAACAAGATTCGGATTTTCAACACCAATGTCAAGTCAGTCAGGTGTTCTATACGGGTGATAAAATTGGCCAGCGTGTTACGGAAAGGATGTCCGACAAGTTACACACTTTTATCAACAGCTGCCCTCTTCTCTGGCTCAATACTGAATATCGAATGGTCGGCCAAAAAGAATTAGCAACAAGAAACTCTGTCTGGGAAAAAACCAAACAAGACTTGATTGCTTGATAAATATGTAGGAGAAAATGGAGATGGATCCTGAGGTGCGAACCCAGGGTCTTCCGGTTACAAGGCAAGCTTGTACAGTTCTCCCCAACTCATCTATAACAATTACAACATATAGATTAGTTGATACATTTGATCCGCTAAGATGGTTCACAATGACAACACCTTTAAATAAACCCCGTTTTGTGGCCAGATTTTTCCAGTAATAATGATAATATACATCTGGGTTAAAATTTCTGGAAACTTTCTGTGTAAAAAAGGTTGACGCAAGATAAAGACACGTCATATAAAATATCTATAAAAAATAATGTAACTTGAAAACTGTCGGCAAGTTAGTTCATTAAACTGTTAGTAAAGTTAACAACACGACGTGTTGAGAAAAAGTTGACTGTCTTGACAGAATTCATATGTATGATTTTTAAATTTGATTTGTAGCACTCTAAATGCTGAGCAACACATCTATACACAATGAGAGAATAATACACGAGTAACAGATGGAAAACTTTCAAAAGTCGTTCTGTTCAAATGAAATGCCTTAACATAAATTTCAAAATCTTTATATTAAGCATAAAAATGCTAACATACTATACGTAAAACAAAAAACGCCAAAGATAAATGATTCCTTGTGGTTAAGCACACAAGCACAAAACCCTGAAGATGAGGAAAACAGGTCCAGAAAGAAATCCCAAGGCATCAACTGTTTATAACAGAATTTAATGCTAGTTAAAATATCAGAAAATCACTCTCTCTCTCTCTCACACACACACACACAAACAAAATTTGCTGATTAGTGGTCAATATAGGATAACAAACTATCTTGTAGGTACAAAACACAAGCTTTTTGTGTGTTAACAAGGTTTAATCAATGCATATTTTAAACGACTTTTTAAACTAACTTTACGGACGTATACTTAAGCACTTATTTACCAAAAGTCTCTAATATCGAAACGTCAGAAAAAAAAATACTAAAGAATATGGAAGGAATTTCCAAAGAGATTTCTTGCATTTAGGAAATGATGACCACCATTCACCTTTTTCACAGATGGTAATTTATCTTACATAATTCTTCTTTGAACGACTGATTTTTATTTGGGTCCGTAACAGTCGACTACATGGTGAAATAATAGCTAATTCCATATTAGTTTGTTTATTAGATATATCACACAAGGATGAAACAGTACCATTTACTGGATAACGTTTCGAACACAATTTATTGTTCGTAATCATATCAACTATATTCACATGACTTCGAAACTTGAGTTTTATAGTTTTCTTTTTTCTCTTCTATTTCTCGTAGGGGTAGGAGAATTTTCCAGATATCTGGGACAGGTGTTGAATCATTCCTACTACGCGTATTCTCTTCAGTTGATTCCATAAATAAAGCTTCCGTTATCAATCTCTCCCTCCACCCTGTGACGTTACATTCTAAAAATGTCATCTTATCCCATACTATTCTATGCTTGTATGTAATTGCATGTAGTGCTATAGCTGGACTTTTAAACTCAAGTTTCGAAATTATGTGATAATAACGGATGATATGATTATGAACAATAAATTGTGTTCGAAACGTTATCCAGTAAATAATACTGTTTCACTGTGTGATATATCTAATAAACAAACTAATATTGAATCACTTACTACCACAGTGCCCATGTTTTACGCATATATTGAAATAATAGCTATCTTACTATTGGTTAAAACTAACAAAATGTGAGGGATTTCAACTTTAGGCTTATTCTGCAGGCCAAGAGATTCGAAGAATATGTGTTCACAAAAGTGAAGCCAATCACTTTGTACAAAATCATGAGGAGTGCATCTGCCCAACTTTATTCGACTGAACAACACTACATTTTGTATACATATGTATATATGACTTCTAAGAAAGCCGGAGCGATAATTGAAATCGATTAATTAAACCAAACGTATGAGTTACGCGTAGGACCATCCGGGCACTGCAGTCACTCAGAGGCAAAAAAACAGGTCCAATAAAAAAGTATCCCAAATTCGGGGCAGTATGCTTCACGTTTTCGTTAGCTGAGACCGTACTATATGACATATAAAACAATGAACATAATATACAAACCTCTAATTGTGAGACTATGTCTGAAGATGGATAGTTTCGATGTAAGAAAAGGAACATAGGACTCTGAACAAGTAAAACTATGTGAATCATGTATATATTGCCTAAGCTTAATAAGACAAAGCCTTTAACCCTTAAAGCTTGCAAACAAGAAATGCACATGGATTCAAATGTGCTATGTACATATCTGTTAGGCAGCTCAGCCTTCAGTCAGTCATAGGGTCTAGGTTTTGAATCCCACTCTACATGCATCGAAATCGGCAGCAAGGTAGTACAATCAACGTTGTTCATAACCTGGTACATGAGAAATATGTCTTAACTAACCATATTTGTCCACTAAAAACATTCCTCAATCTCTTTCATTCTAACCACTAAGTTCGACTTCTGAGGTCAAAGCTAATGAGTGCACTCTGAAGCGAACTATCAAGTTATAAAGCTAGTGTTGGGCGTCTATAAAAGTGGGGAAATATTACGATAGGACGCTGTTCTTCAACACGTGAGCAGTCGATAAGAAAATCAAACCACATCTGACAGACCTATTCATCCAAGTGAACACCGATACAAAACTTCCGAGTTGAGATTACAAGACAGAATAAGTAGCCAGTGTATTTGCACTCCTACATTTACCATACAGTGCGATCGGCTGTTTGCAAGTTCAGTATTGAGCCCATTAATCTTGAATGCAAATAGCTTAACTTCTCCCTTTAACAAACCGAAAATTACACTAAGAATCTCACCGCACCTTCAGATTCAACACAGCTGAACATGCACCCCAAAGAGATAATGTACATGGCAAACATGGATATACCCATGTGAATGCCTTAACACTTTTACATAAATAGGTTTATGCAACAATAAATTCATTGCAACTGTCGAGACGTATCATTAAAAACTATCGAAAATACCAAAAGCAACAACTAAAAAACACAATCAAATAGGAAACTTAACATAAACGCACAAAATGACTGAAAAGGTTGTCGAAATCAGTGTATTCCCACTCGTCAAGCAATGATCTGAAACAGAGAGCAAAGCTCACGTTAGCAGTGTGATCACACAAGTGTTGCGTGCTGGTAAGAACGAAGACTCAAGGTCAAGTATTATATTTACAACCAATCGCAATACAATTAGATAAGGGGGAAGGGGCACTCCTATTGGTCATCCGTTGCCTCGTCTTGGGTAACCAATCCCTGCATACTTCGCAGCCAACCTGAAAGTAGACAAGCATAGTTTGAACATTAGAAAACCGCTAAACTTACCATGCCTTACACTACCCCCTCTCCCATAGGAGCACTGTCCGCAGTGCTAGGTGACTGTTCCTGCGGGACGTGTCTGAACTAAGGCCTGTTGTCGAAAAGGTTTTAGTCTATTGAAGTGTGTGACTAGACTATGAGAGGAATTCGGTTCCTGAATCCTACAGGTGCAGTCACTTAGTACCTCTACTACAGTGAATGGTCCTTCCCAACGTTTATGGAATTTAAGAGCTTTCCCTTTAGGTGGTGCCTCCTTGAGTAGCATCACCTTGTCTCCTGGCTCCACTGGTGATCCATGTGCTTTCCTATCATAGTATTCTTTCTGGTACCTCTGGTTTGTTTGGAGTATATCCCTAGTCATCTGGTGTACCGTGTTCAGGTTTCGTCAAAGTCTGATTACGTGTTCGGATGCAATCAGTGTATCCTCTCCTAGTGTGTTTGAAGTCAGATCGATTGGCAACCGGAGTTCCCTTCCAGTGACCATATAATGAGGCGTTTGACGCGTAGCTTTGTGAATGCTTGCTCTGTATGCCATTAAGCATTGTGAGAGTGATCGGTCCCATTCCCTGGGGTTGTTTTGATCTACAAATGCCTGCAAGAGAGATTTAAGTGTCCGATTGGTGCGTTCAACCAAGCCATTTCCCTGTGGGTGGTACGCGGTAGTGCGTGTCTTCCGGATACCCATTATACAACAGAGTTCGCTGACAACGATACTTTCAAAGTTGGATCCTCGATCTGAGTGTAGTTGAAGTGGTGTCTCCCAATGGCTGACCCAGTGGTCAAAAATTGACTCTGCGATGGTTACAGCATCAATCTGTGGGATCGCGATAGCCTCGCACCACTTGGTAAAATGGTCTACCATGACTAAAATATAGTTATTATTTCTGGAAGTTACTGGGAGAGGTCCAACCAAGTCTATTTGTACTAAGTCATTCGGATGGCCAGTTATAATGGGTTCTAAGGGTGCCTTCTTATATTTGTGCGGAGCCTTAATAAATTGGCATACCTCGCAGGAGTCACAGAAATCCATGATGTCTTTCCTCTGGTGAGGCCACCAATAACGTCTTTTAGCCGCTTCAATCATTTTCCCTGAGCCCACGTGGCCTAACTGCTGGTGTAATGACAACAGTACTGTGGGTAGTGCCGACTGTGGAGCCACAACGCGACGAGTATAAGTGGGTCCATGTTGGTAGTAGAGGATGTTATCGACAATTTTCAGATTATCCCACAGAGACCATAAACACCGGGTTTCCCATCCAAGCTTACTTATTTCCTGGGTTGTCGGTCGTTCGCCTCCATTTCGAACACGTTCGTAAATCAAGGCCAGTTCAGGGTCTGAAGACTGAAGTTCAGGCCAACTATATGAAGTATGAGCCTCTAGTTGGAGCAGCGAAACTTGTGCTTCGGTGCATGATGGGCAGTCACCGTGATACCTAAGAGGTTTTCTTGACAATGCATCTGCATTTCCATGATTCTTACCCGGTCTATGCATGCATTCGAAGTCATACTCTTGCCATCTAGCAATCTGACCCTCAGCTTCTTTGAAGTTATGTAGCCAGCTAAGGGCTTTGTGATCAGTGCGTACAATGAAATGTCTACCGAGGAGATATGCCCTAAAGTGTTTAACAAAATTGACCAGTGCCAGCATTTCTTTCCGCGTGGTGCAGTAATTCTCACTCTTGTTGAGTGCTCGACTTGCATAGGCTATCACCTTTTCTACTCCATCTGCGTCTTTTTGAGACAAAACTGCCCCGATACCAGAGTCGCTAGCATCTGTATCTAGGATGAATGGACCTGCCTGGTCAGAAACATTGGGATACGCTAGGATAGGGGGGCTACATAAACAGCTTTTAAGTCTTTCGAAGGCTTCCGTAGCTGATGCTGTCCAATTGTAGTCTTTCTTCTTAAGAATGTCGAATAGAGGAGCTGCAAGGAAAGAGAAGTTAAGTACAAAACGTCGATAATACGAGGCTAACCCTAAAAAACTATGTAACTCGGGGGCTGAGTTTGGGAGCGGCCAGTCTTTAACTTCCTGAACTTTTGCTGGATCACATTTAATGCCTTCGGCTGAAACAATGTGACCTAAGAAACACACTTCTTTCCTGAAGAATTGACATTTCGATGGGTTCAGTTTTAACCCAACGGTCTGCATCCGTTCTAATACTTCGGAAATATCACTTAAATGTTCGGTCAACGTCTTACTATGTATGATAACATCATCTAGATATACCAAACACTTACCTGGTATGCAATCACTCAAGACCGTTTGCATGAGGCGTTGGAATGTTGCTGGGGCATTGACTAACCCAAACGGCATTGTTTCAAACTCATACAGGCCTGCTTGTACAATGAATGCTGTCTTTTGCCTGTCATCTGGGTGTACTTCAACCTGCCAATATCCCGATGCCAGATCTAGAGTGGTAAACCAATTCGACCCTATAAGGCATCAAAAGTGTCGTCTATGCGTGGAAAGGGAAAGCAGTCTCGTCTAGTTAACAGGTTCAACTTACGATAATCTACACATAACCGGAGTGTCCCATTCGATTTCTTAACTAAAACTACCGGGGAAGCCCATGGAGATACGGATGGTTTGATGACATTTTTCTCTAACAGTTCATCAACTAACCTGTTAAGCTCCTTCTGGTAATGTGCAGGTACTCGCCGTGCAGGTTGTCTACAAGGTGGGGCGTTACCCGTTTCTATGTGATGTTGGACCAGTTTTGTTCTTCCCGGGCTTTTTCCATCCCAGTCAAAACAGTCCTCATATTTGTCTAGCATTTTATTAAAGTTGGCAGCCGTTTCCGATGGTAGGGGTTCTATAGTCGTCAGCATTCGCTGTTTCTCATTCTTAGCATCTCCCTGCACGCCAAAAGTGCCGTGCTCTTTGTCAATAAATGGGATGGAACAGTCCTTCAGTATAAGAGTCCTCTGACTACAATCTATTATTCCGGACAGCTTTTCCAGGAGGTCGACTCCCAAGATTACCTGCCACGGCACCCGGGTAGAGATGATGAAATTTTGTTGAAGTGACAGTGTTCCCAATTTAAGTGGCAGCAGGACCAGTCCCTGGGATTGCATGCAATCTCCATTGGCTGTCGTAAGCCGCAAATTGTGAGTCCCTATTGTTGGCCTAAACGTCTCTGGAACACATGAGGAATGTATGACAGAACAAGTTGCTCCTGAGTCAACTAACATAACACACTTTTTTCCACCTATATAACCTACAACTTTCGGGGAGGAGGTGACACCGATTAGGTTTACAGTAGGCACACAATTCATATCGACATGTGACTCACCTGCATTGTGACCACAACTCCTAGCAAGCTTACCAAACCGCCTGCAGTAGTAGCAATCGTTTCTTGAAGTGGATTGCGACTGTGGGCGTCCTTTCCACGGTGGTGTGGGATTCTGTGCATGCTTTGTTGTTGTGTGCTGATATCCCATTGCGTTTACTTGTGGGCATGTGGTTCCTGGCTCTTCCAGGCTTTCCACTAGGCGTGCCCTAGCTTCCGCTTCTGCCATGGATGCTGGAGTGTGCAAGTTGAAGTCCTTCCTGTAACGGACGTCGACACCCTGCAAGAACTTGGAATATATAGCGTTTTCAACCTCTGAATATGTCTTGTCCTGCATAGCTTGACGCGCAAGCTTGCGGAGACGTAAGGTGAACTGGTTGATAGATTCACCTTGTCTCTGGTTGCACTCGCTGAATCTTTTCAGCGCTTCAATGGGAGGTATTGGTGGCACTATACGTGCTCTTAGAGTACTCAACAGGGTGGTCAAGGGCATATGCACGTAATCCAAACCAATTGTGTACATTTCCAAGGACCGTCCAACAGAATCGATGACGAATGCGTTCGGGTGAGGCACGTTCATCAGATCAATGTATCGGCACACCTTGTCCGACCACAGCTCGAAATCATCACCCACCTCCAGTGTATGCGGCAAGGGATGGACATATCGCGAAGCAGGCTGATTTGACTGAAAAGCTGGAGCCCTCACTTCAGCCAATTGATCCACCTCGTTGGATGCTGTCTGTTTGACAAGAGAAGTGTTCTTGGAAGCCTCATTGGGTCGAGACTTGGAAGAAGAAAACTTTTTCGTTGGCAGGCTCGCCATTTATGTAATCCCACTCGTCAAGCAATGATCTGAAACAGAGAGCAAAGCGCACGTTAGCAGTGTGATCACACAAGTGTTGCGTGCTAGTAAGAACGAAGACTCAAGGTCAAGTATTATATTTACAACCAATCGCAATACAATTAGATAAGGGGGAAGGGGCACTCCTATTGGTCATCCGTTGCCTCGTCTTGGGTAACCAATCCCTGCATACTTCGCAGCCAACCTGAAAGTAGACAAGCATAGTTTGAACATTAGAAAACCGCCGAACTCACCATGCCTTACACCAGACTAATTCATAAGACGCGCCGTAACATTAAATTTAGTTACACGATGAGATAAAACACTCAACGTTTGGACTCATGGCATAAATTCGCCTCATAGCAATTTATGTTAATAAGCGGTGTCTGGAAATTGACACTCGACATTCGTAATATTCGTTTCTAATGTGTTATTTAAAGCTAGCATAAATCGAAATGTTCCATTTGTACCCAAAACTTATTAGTAATTTATCGTTCCTTATAAAAAGTAAAAACTAGAGTAGAGAGACTTTCACCTCACCTGAGATGTTAATTACTTCCTTTTTAACAATAAAGGATTGGTTGAGTCTGAAGGAAAG